CCATTGTCACCACAGATACGCACGGCAAGACATACATCAAGTGTTCTCAAATCTTTAAAGACTCAATCCAATAAGATAACTTCAAAGGGAAAACTCAATCCATTACAAGAGAGAAGAGGGGGAGGAGAAACATAAGATCCAACTATAATAGCAAAGCTCGCGATACATCAAGATCGTGCCAAATCAAGAACACGAGAGAGAGAGAGAGATCAAACACATAGCTACTGGTACATACCCTCAGCCCCGAGGTTAACTAGTCCCTCCTCGTCATGGAGAGCGCCGGGATGATGAAGATGGCCACCGATGAGGGTTCCCCCCTCCGGCAGGGTGCCGGAACAGGGTCCCGAGAGGTTTTTGGTGGCTACAGAGGCTTGCAGAAGCGGAACTCCCGATCTATCTTCTGTTCTGGAAGTTTTAGGGTACGACGGTATATATGGGTGAAAGAGGTACATCGGGGGAGCCACGGGGGCCCCACGAGGCAGGGGACGCGCCCCCACCCTCGTGGGCAGCCCGTATCTCCCCTAACGTGCACTCCAAGTTCCCTGGGTTGCTTTCCTTCCGAAAATAACTTCTCCAGTTGATTTCGTTCCGTTTTGACTCCGTCTGATATTCCTTTTCTTCAAAACACTGAAATAGGCATAAAACAACAAATCTGGGTTGGGCCTCCGGTTAATAGGTTAGTCCCAAAAATAATATAAAAGTGGATAATGAAGCCCAATATTGCCTAAAACAGTACATAATATAGCATGGAGCAATCAAAAATTATAGATACGTTGGAGACGTATCATTGGTGATGACGATGGTGATGATTTCCCCTTCCCGGAGGGATGTTTCCCCGGCAGAACAGCTCCGTTGAACCCTAGATTGGTTCCGCCAAGGTCCTGCCTCGTGGCGGCGGTGTTTCGTTCCGTAAGCTTTCTTATGATTTTTTCCAGGGTAAGAGACTTCATATAGCAGAAGATGGGAACCGGAGGCCTGCCAGGGGGCCCACGAGGCAGGGGGCGCGCCGCCACCCTCGTGGCCAGGGTGTGGGCCCCCTCTGGTTGATTCTTTCTCCAGTATTTTTATATATATTCCAAAACGTGCCTTTGTGAAGTTTCATGACTTTTGGAGTTGTGCAGAATAGGTCTCTAATATTTTCTCCTTTTCTAGCCCAAAATTCCAGCTGCCGGCATTCTCCCTCTTCATGTAAACCTTGTAAAATAAGAGAGAGAAAATATAAGTATTGTGACATAATGTGTAATAACAGCCCATAATACAAGAAATATCGATATAAAAGCATGATGCAAAATGGACGTAACACCCGTCAGCGGGTACTCTCAACTTGCCGTCTTTCTTACGGTCTTCTCTGTGCCATCGCATCGCCTTGGCATGCTCTTTGTTTTGGAAGAAACGTTTCAACCATGGTATTATATGAGCAGACCGCATCACCTTGGCAGGAATCTTTTTCCTGGGGCGCTCGCCCTCGACATCACCAGGGTCATCACGACTGATCTTTTAGCGCAATGCACTGCATACCGGGCACGCGTTCAAATCCTCGTACTCACCGTGGTATAGGATGCAGTCATTAGGGCATGCATGTACCTTCTGCACCTCTAACCCTAGAGGGCAGACAGCCTTCTTTGCTTCGTACGTTCTCTCGGGCAATTCGTTGTCCTTTGGAAGCATATTCTTTATCATTACCAGCAACTTTCCAAATCCCTTGTCAGATACACCATTCTCTGCCTTCCATTACAGCAATTCCAGTGTGGTGCCCAACTTTTTCTTGTTAGCTTCACAATTCGGTACAACAATTTCTTGTGATCCTCTAACATGCGCTCCAACTTCTTCTTCTCCTTTTCACTTGCGCAGTTTCTCTTTGCGTCGGCAATGGCCCGACCTAGATCATCAGCGGGCTCATCTGATGCCTCTTCTTCAGCTTCTTCCCACATTGCTGGCTCAGCTTCTTCCCCCATTGCTGGCTCAGCTTCTTCCCCCATTGTTGTATCATCGTATTCAGGGAACCCATGGCCAGGATAGCTGTCGTCGTCCTCTTCTTCTTCATTGTCTTCCATCATAACCCATCTTTCTCCGTGCTTGGTCCATACATTATAGTGGGGCATGAAACCAGACTCAAACAGGTGGATGTGAATGGTTCTTGAGTTAGAGTAATTGTGATCATTCTTACAGCTAGCACATGGACAAGGCATAAAACCATCCGCCCGCTTGTTTGCCTCAGCCGCAAGCAGAAAAGTATGCACGCCATTAATGAACTCGGGAGAGCATCGGTCATCGTACATCCATTGTCGGCTCATCTTCATTACACAACACCAAAAAGACCAAATTAATACAAGTTCATACATAAAGTTCATACAACACTTAAATGCAACAAACAAATAACTCTCTAGCTAAAGCATTTAAATGCAACAATAAATGCGATCAAGATCGCAACTAAGGTAACAATTGATCCAACAGCATAATGATACCAGGCCTCACTATCAATGGCATATTTTCTAATCTTTCTAATCTTCAAGCGCATTTTCTCCATCTTGATCTTGTGATCATCGACGACATCGGCAACATGCAACTCCAATTCCATCTTCTCCCCCTCAATTCTTTTCAATTTTTCTTTCAAATACTCGTTTTCTCTTTCAACTAAATTTAACCTCTCGACAATAGTGTTGGTTGGAATTTCCGGTTCACATACCTCCTAGATAAAAATATCTATGTCAACTTGATGGGCATAATTTGTCATAAACACGAAATGCAACAAATAGTTTTAAAATAGAATATACCACATCTGAATCATAACACGGACGAGGGCCGATGGGGACGGATATCAAAACCATGGCACTATGTATAACAAACAACGTACGGGTAAGATAATTATACGAGTAACTATATATCCAAATCACACTAACATGAATTTTTTATATAAAAAATATAAGAACAAGAGGCTCACCACAAGGTGGTGCTGGCGACGGGACGGTGCGGACGATCGACGGTGGTTACGACGGAGATTTAGAAGGCACTAAGTAAATCACACCTGCATATGCAAACTAAGTGTTATTTGGACCTCAAATTGCGTATAAATCAAATACTACCACATATAGTTCCTCCCAAATTACTAAAACCCACAAATTAATCACTATATAAACCATTGCAAAAGCTAATCTAGCAATGAGAGATGAAAGGACAAAGTTGCTAATCTTTGTGATAATTTGAATGGATGGGGGCCTTCAAATCTTGACAAAATTTGGGCAAAATTTGTGATGAGCTCGAAAGGAAGAAGGAAAGAACAAAGAGGAGAGGGGAAAGGGGGAAGAACAGAGCGCGGGTGGACGAAGGGTTTATATAGGACGACCTTTAGTACCAGTTCGAGGCACGAACCGGTACTAAATGTGCTGGAGGGGCCCCAGACTGACAACATCCTGCCACCACTCTATTTAATACCGGCTCGTGGCACGAACCGGTGCTAAAAGTTCGGCACGAACGGGTACTAATAAAAGCGACCCGCCTAGCCGTTGGAACCGGCACTAATAGTCACATTAATGCCGGCTCAAATTTAAACCGGGACTAATGAGCTAACATTTGATCATTTTTCTACTAGTGCATGATGGCCTTCAGGTTGATGAACATGGCCACCAAGATGATTTGCCCCTCCGGCAGAGCACCGGAAAAGGCCTTCAGATTGGATCACGAAGAAACAAATGGTGTGCTGCGATGGAAAGATTAGGGCTTTAAGTTCCCAAGGTTTTTTGAACTATATGAAGGCATGGGGACCTCGAGGTGGTAAATCGGGCCACCAAGGGGCCACTCAGTAGGACCGCGCACCTCCTGGTGCGTGGGGGCCATAGGCAGCCCCCAGGCCTAAGTCGGTTGCCCCAGGATGGTTCGAGACTTTATATCATCGCGCACGTGGGTGGCGCGTGGGAGTCAACGTTGAGGTGTCCGATTTGAAGGTCAAGCGTTGGAGATATTAATTAAACTTTCTCTATTTATTTTTTTGCGGGGAAAACTTTCTCTAATTTATTCAATCCAACGCATGTGTGCCGGGAAAAGTTCTCTTATTTTATTACTGCAATTTATTTCTCTGGTGACCGACGGGAATGAGTGCTATAGTACTGTACTCTCTCTCTCAGTTTACAGAGCGTGCGCGTACCCTAGGTCGTCAATTTGACCAACCTACTACAAGTCATATATTATAAAAAAATATACCAATGTAAATTTCAGATGTTCTATTTTCAAACGGTATAATTTTTATGTTATATAATTTATATTAGGATGATAAAATTGGTAACCTAGATATATGCATAGAACTTCTAAACTGAGGGAGTACCCTGTTGGAGGCAGTAAATTTTGGGCCAGCGGATCGCAGTGAATATTGATTGCGGACTGGTGTGGCCGGGTCTGAGACGTGTTGAGCGGATCCAATGAAAATAAATGAACGATGTGACAGCACAGTGTAAATGCGGTGCCACTATGCTCGGTGCTGTACTGCTACTCTACATCAACATGGCTACATGCCTGTTAAAAAACATTTTGGAAAAAGGTAGTTGCCGATAACCTGGTGTAGATTGTTAAGTTGGCGCGCAAAATAGCCCCATTATTATGTTTTCAGTGGCAATGCATAGTACACACGACGAACTAGAGTTAATAATGTCTACAAGTCTGCTGTTCACACTTGATCTGTTCCATCACACAAATGTTGTTAAAGAAAACAAAGTTTGTGATGTACTGTAGCAAATGCAAATCCTACAAAGTGGAGGGAGCCCTCTTTACATTACAACAATATGCCAGCAGTCCACGCACCAGTCGTCTTCCCTTATCCATTCACACTCTGCCTTCCACCGGCCTCTCCACTTCCACTCTTTTTACCACCGAGCTTTACCCGTCCCCAAATCCCCTTCTACATCTGCGCCGGTAGGATCCGGACATCCCCAAAGCCCAAAGACATTACTAATGCACCACCGTGCGCATTGGTCCTCTAGCCTCTCTCCCATCCCCATCAGGCCATCCCCATGGAGGTCGCTGTAGGAGCAACAAGCGGAGTAACCATATCCGAATCCATCGTCGAGAGGGCATGCGTAAAGCTCCGATACGCCATAGCAGATGAAGCCGTGGCGCGTTCGAACTTCGCAGGTGACCTGCCAGATATGTTGGAGGCGCTGGAGGTCATCCAGCCGGCGATGGACAAAGCCGAGATGCGGCCGTTGAGTGAAGGACCGGAGCAGGAATGGCTGATGGAGGTCAAGAAAACCGCCGGCATGATCGTGGGAATGGTTGAGGAGTTGCAGGACACAAGGTCACATGCTGCTGCAACGGTGCGTAGTGTACCCTATGTCTTTTTGTTTTCATTTTTCTTGTCCGGGGAAGCAAGTATTGTTCATTACTTACTTGCTGTCTTGACCGGAAATTAGATTGGGTAGAGCAAATTCATGGATCTATGTTTTGGCTGTGGTGCTGTTAAAAATTCCAATGTTTTTTATCGCGACATGAATTGGTGTTTCCTCTAAGTACCATAATGATCAATATTTGCAGATGACTGCACGGATGCTGTTGCCCCCCCTTGCCACCATGAAGAATGACATGGCCACCAAGGTGGCGGAGACGAAAAAGCGAGTGATGAAGATACACGAGTATTGCCATCGGTTTTTAACTGGAAATCTTTGTGATATAACCGATCCGATGGAAGTGGTGGATGCCATATCATCGAAAATAAGAGATCAGCGAATAACAGGACCAGTTTTTGAAGAAGCATTGGTTTTGGGAAGAGGCCCAGATAGAGAGAGTATAATGGCCGTCCTGTTGCCATCTGCTGAGCGCAACATCACAAAAGAGCACATCACTATTCTTCCCATCTTTGGGATTGCAGGCAGCGGCAAGACAACCTTGGCACAAATGGTTTTTAGCAACACCCACTCCCTCCAAGTTTACCACTTTCGGGTATGGGTCAATGTCTCGGTGGAACTCGATTTTCATGCAGTAGGTGAGTCCATAATTCGCCAGATATCAGGAACTGAAGGAGGACAAGAAGAGATCAGTCATGCTTTTTCAGATGTGGAGGGGATGGAACATATAATGAAGCATCTTCACCGGCTGCTTAGTGGCAAGAAAGTGCTGCTTGTTTTGGATGACCTATGGGAGGAGGATCCAATTCAGTTGCAGCTGTTGAAGTCCATGCTAAGCACCCTGGGCGACAAGGTGGATGTGATAGTAACCACGTGCAACCAAGCCATTGCCAGGAAGATTTGTACCATTGAGCCTTACAGGCTAAATCCATTGAGTGATGACACATGCTGGGAAATAATCAAGAAATCAATCCATTTCGAAAAAGAAGATAAAGAAGAAGAGTTGGAGAAGATAGGTCGGGAGATGGCAAGCAAGTGTCGGGGTTTACCATCAACAGCTCGAGCATACGCACGCGTGATAGGTTCCTCCCGACATGCCAGGGAATGGAAGACGGCCAAGGAAATAAATATCGCGAGATATTCCTCAGCGTTTTTAACTTTGGAGTTAAGCTACAGGAGTATGCCGCCAGATTTGAGACTATGCATTGTTTATTATTGTGAAATCTTCCCAAACGGCCACAATATACTCAAAGACGACCTGATTCATCAATGGATGGCTCTCGACCACATCAGACCATCTGAAATATTGTCTGCCACACAGATAGCCGAGGAGTATATTACCAGGCTTTTGGACTTATCATTCCTTCAAACCGTAAAGTTGGACAATGTGAGTAATTATTTACTACCTCCATTTTACAAATTTTGTCGTATTTTAGAGGCCTCCAGTTTACAAATATATATATATATATATATATATATATATATATATATATATATATATATATATATATATGGATTTTAGAGCCATAAAATTGAAGTAAAAATTTGATCGAGTTGTATCATATACTTGTTCTCACTAGATATATTACTGCTATATGGATCTAATAGAAAGTATGCACAAGAGCCATGCCATTGTGGAACCAAAGGAGTACATACATCTAAGAGCATCTCCAGCCGTTGGCACCCCCAAAAACATCACCGAACCAAAAAAGTTGGTGTCTTGAGGGTCATCCGGTGAAATCCGGCGAAATAAAGAAGGCATCTTCCCAGTCACACCCCACCCCAAGCAAAAGTTTGTGAGGAGAATGATTAAGTGGGCCAAGAAAAAGGACATGTGATGAGACATGATTCGCCGAAACTTCCGCCGGCGCCCCCAAAAGACCCCCAGCGCGCCGGGTTTTGCCTGGGTTTGCCGGCGCTATTTTGACGTCCTGGGGGGCGTTGGGGGCGTGGCTGGGCCGTTTTTCAGCGAAAAGTGCCGTCCGAGCCTAAAAAGGTGTCCTGGGGGCGTCCTGGGGAGCCTAGTGGAGATGCTCTAAGAGACCAAGACATATATGGCATTGTTACTCTTCTTCAAAAAGTATAGTCTTGCTACTTCTTAAGAGCATCTCCAGCCGTTTGCCCCCCAGGAGGCACCTTTTTTCGCCTCCTGGGAGGCTGCCGGCGAGAACTTAGGCCTTGGGGGCCAAACCACTTCCACTCGTTGCCTCCCCACGAGCAGCGTTGGACTCCCACAATCGGAGCGTCATTTCGTTGAGCACCTTGACTGCGGCGGCGTCGACGACCTCCAGCCAGCGGAGGAGCGCGAGCGTCGACGGAGGCCTGGCGGAAGACCACACGGACATGAGCACGAGCAGCGCTGGGCTCCCACGGAGGCAGCAGCATTTCATCGAGCATCTTGACCGCGGCCGCGCCCGTCCAGGCCGCGCCCACTGCTCGCCGCCTCGACACGCCCCGTCAGCGGGCTGCACGGGGACAGGGCGGGCGCCCAGGACGAGGTGGTCGGCGGGCGTCCTCCACTGTCTCCTGCTCCTTCCCAACGACGGCGTCGCCGAGGCACCGCGCGAGGACGACGGCGTGAGCAACAAGGAGGAGGAGGAGGTTGCTGGTCGCTTGCCTTGTAGACGGGGCCGAAGCCGCGACCGAGCAGGTTGCCGTCGGAGAAGCCGGCGGTGGCGGCCTCCAGCACCGGCAGATCGATGAAGAGCGTCCACTGGTCGTCCTCCTCCTTGTTGCTCTCCCGACGACGAGGGCAAGGACGATCGAGCCCACAGCCGCGCCCGTCCGCCCAGGCAGCGCCGCGCCCGCCCGCCCGTCCACACGCCATGGCCACACGCAGCGAGCTCCGGCCCGGCCACGCCACGGCCACATGCCGACGGACGAGCTGCCGCGGCTCCGGACGTGCGCGCGAGCAGGCATGTAGGGCGGCCCCGGCGGCGAGCACGGCAGCAAGAGACGGCGAGCGGCGCAGTTGGTGGAAGAAAAGACGAGGAGAGAAAGAGAGCTCGTGGGGTGTCAGGTGAAAAGTAAGAGGAGAGAGGCTGCATGTTGGCCTTTGCATGCATAAACACATTGCCGGCGCTCCCAGATGCTTCCCGGGAGGCTGGGTTTGGGGTGAGACTGCCGGCGCTAAACTTTGACGAATCCGGCGAAAAATGTGATTCTGGGGGCGTGACTGGAGACTTTTTTTCGCTGCCGGCGATGAAAAAGTGACCATGGGGGCTTCCTGGGGGCCGGCTGGAGATGCCCTAATTAGCCTTGGAATATACCAAGTCTCACATGTTGATACACTCCCTCCTGTTGAGTTTAGAGAACGGTTTTTCATAGCTAGGGCTACGCGGTATCCCTTATCATAGCCTTTCAATCGTTCCCATGTTTCATGTGGATATGTGCATACAACAGTTGATGCCAGCGCTTAATCCTTGATCATTGTTCATACAGCCTACCAATTTCGAAAGTTGGGTGGGCCTTAGTAGGCCACTGTTCATGACATGGCCTGACGTGCGTGCAGCTACAGTGGTCTTGGCCTGCTCACTTCTTAATACACTGACGGGACTTGTCTCTGTCTCACACGGGCTCGCAAAAAACAAAGTCTCTCACCTTTCTCCTCTCTCTCTCACAGTCTCACGTGGGTACAGTGGAAGAGAGCCTGGCGTTGCTGCACACATGACATGAGACAGAGATAGTGGGCCAAACCATGCTGCTGTTTGACCGAAGTGTGGAGAAAATAAAGAGAGACGTGAGAGAGGAAGAGAAGAAAACTTTTTTTGTGAGAGAAAATAAAGAGAGTCGTGAGAGAGGAAGGGAAGAAATCTGTTTTTTGTGAGTGAAAATAAAGAGAGAGGCATGATAGAGGAAGAGAATATTGCGTGTGACTAAGAATCCTTTTTAGAGAGAGAGAGAGAGTTGGTTGTGTATGATTGTCAGAGAGAAAAACTCTCAGAGAGAGCTGCATGTGAGAGGCGAGAGAGAGGGACCGTGGATCTAGGCAGAATTAACAAATTTGACCTCAAAGCGAAAGTATTTCACAAACTAAACTGTTTTCAAAAATATTTCACACCGCTGACCCTTTTGTGCAGCTCCCAACAGAAAGGCGCTGCACTTTACTGTGCAACTCCTTACAGTTAGGCGCTGCACAGTGTAGTGCAGCTCCTTACAGCTAGGCGCTGCACAGTGTGGCGCCTGTATGTTAGGCGCTTCACAGTAAGAGTGTAGCGCCTTGCGGTTGGGCGCTGCACATTAAAGGTCAGCTGGGTGAAATATTTTTAAACATAGTTTAGTTTGTGAAAATAGTTTCGTCCTGAGATCAAATTTATGTTTTTTGCCGTGAATCTATGTGGAGGGAGGGGGAATATGACTGGAGTGCTCTAGACAGGGAAGGATGGGCTGCTGAAAAGACATGCGTGTGGGCCCCGGGACCGCCCGCTTTCCGGCTAGACAGTGACACAGAGGCGGTAGCACAGATCTTGTTACTATTCACATAGCCCTGCTCTCTCTCTGACTAATAAGTGCTGATGCTAGTGGTAGCACAGATCTCCACAAAATACCAACGTTGCAGATAAACGGTACCGCGTAGGCCGAGCTAGCAAGGGACTTTCCGTTCGAGTTTATAAGCCATCGCTGGTTTTTAGGTGTTCAATTTGGCTAACAAAATATGTATAATGTAATATAAAAATATATATGTTTAGAAACTTCATTTCATAATGAATCTAACGATATATATTTTGTGGCATATATATTTCATCAGTGTTTTAGACCATCAATTTAACTAGCGAGATGTTGAGTGGTGGCCAAGGGTGGCATCCCACGGTTGCGGATCTAGTTATCCCTTGTCCAAATCTAGTCTGCAGTGGTGTCTGGCGGCGGCTGGTGCCGGACAACGACGGTTGTGCGTCTAGCGGCCGGAGGTGCAGCGGGTGCTTGGTCTGCGGCCGTGGAGACCGTGGTTGTGCGATGGAATGGTTGTGGCCCAGAAGGTGTGCCTCAGGGCGTGCCTTGGGTTGCTGCGGGTGTGCAACTAGGCGCGTGTTGGTGACTACTGCATGCACATAGTGTGACCCACGTCATCGGGGGTGTTGGTGGTGTCCGGGCGCGCTAGCCTTGGTCTGGGCCGGGTGTGCGACGACATAGTGGTGGGTACGGTGCTCCATTGATGGTGACATGTCGACATGCTCAATATGGGTTGGATCGTGGTGGCCATGGTGGTTCAGGTGTCATTATTGTTTGTCGCCGTGCTTGTGGTTTTTGGCGGTAGTGACATGTCGCACACTCATGGCTAGCGTGGCCCAGACGGATGGCTTGGCGTGATGAGGTTGGGTTTGATGAGCTCCATGTGAAAGCCTTGCACCGACTTCGATCAATGTCAATGACGGCGGCGTCCTCAAATATCATCTCCATCCTTGGAGGCGCTGTCTTGAGGCGGTGTGAAAGGTCGAGTGGCGGCTCCACATCTGTGTTCGCGTGGAAAAGTGTCAATTTGGTCGCTTGGGCAGCATAAACGTCGGCTCGGCCAGTGTGCAACCTTGGGGCTGGTGTGGAAGCCAGAGTGGCGGCTCCGGAGTGTGTTTGTTGTACGTAGATTTGGGCTGATGTGAGTGTGCGTTGTTGAGGTGTTATAAGCCAGAGCATTGGCTCCGTTCATGTTGTTGACGGTCGAGTTTGGTCACCGTGGTGGGAGTGGGAGAGTCCTTAGCTCGTTGGTGCAACCTTCGAGACTGCTTTGTGCATGCCGGTGATGTGTCTTTTTTATAAAAAATTCTTATTAACTAGACAATTCCTTTTTTCTTAATGAAAAGGCAGAGCTCCTACGGGTTGCTTAAAAAGAAAAACAATAATAGTTACTCTTTTAGAAGATATCCATTTTTCCTTTCTGATGCGTCTTATAAGTATGTGGTTATGCCTTCTATTTTGTTGCAGGCCAGTGGAAAGAATGATAAGAGTGAAATCTTGTTCACAGTGCACCATATAGCGCACGAGTTAATGAGACAAGTGCATGCAGGACGTTCAATCTACTGGGTAGCCACCAATCATCACGGGAAACTTGATGTCACACATGACGATCAACTAAGAGCACTGCGTTGTGTAGGTTGTAGCAAAGTTGAGTTTAACGAGGACTCATTTTCACGTAAGAAGTGCCTACGTGTCCTGGAACTAAAGGAGAGCTCCATGCTGAAGCTACCTGACTCCATCTGTAAACTGAGGCATCTTCGGTATCTTAAGATATCTGAATTCGCTGGACTAGTAACTCTGCCTCAGTCATTTGGGGATCTGAACAATTTGTTCCATATTGACTTATTAGGCTGCTCCGGTCTACAAAAGCTACCGGAGTCTTTTGGGAAGCTAATATCTTTAGTGCATGTCAACTTGTCAGGCTGCTCTGGGCTTGCAGCTCTTCCTGAATCATTTGGGGATCTCTTCAATTTGTCCCATGTCAATCTATCACGCTGCCATGGACTAATAGAGCTTCCAAAACCACTCCAGAAGCTCAGCAAACTGGTACACCTGGATTTATCATTCTGGTCTTGTTTTGAAGGGATCGGGAAAAGCCTTGGTGGCCTCACCAGTCTTGAGCATTTGAATTTGTCACACCCTTGTTGTCATCTTCCTCAACACCGGTCTTGTCTCGAAGGGCTAAAAGATGGTTTGTGCAAGCTCGCCAACCTCCGATATCTAAACTTGTCCATGTGCCTGAATTCCATCTTTTACTACCACCAATCACAAGAGGACAGTCTCCAGTACATTGGAAGTCTTTCCAGGCTAGAGCATTTGGACCTGTCTCATAACACATTTCTTTTTTATCTGCCTAAAAGTCTGTGTGACCTCAACAAGCTACACACACTGGATCTCTCAGGGTGCATCAGAATCAAGAAGATAGGTGAAACGAAGAGTCTCAAGATTATAAAAGATTTGAACAAGTGCCTGGGTCTGGAAAGGTGCCAACTTGTGGTCGGTGCTGACGAAGGGGCGTACAGCAGCTCGAGCAACCTTGCTCAGCTTGAGGTTGTGGACTGTAAAGAGCTGGAGATAAGTTGCCTTGAGAGGCTGAAGTCTTTGGAGGAAGCGCAGAGGGTAAGATTAATTCAGAAGCAAAAGGTTGAAAGGTTGAAGCTTTGTTGGGAAGTTGGTGAAGCTGGAGGATCTTTGAAGGTGGAGGAAAATGATTTGTTAGGAGAACTAGTACCACCAAATTCTCTGCAGTTCCTCGAGATATGTGGCTATGGCGGGGTAACCTGCCTCCCTGCCTGGTGGATACCAAGCATATCATCTCATCTCTCTAATCTTGTGGAGGTTACCATGGAGGACTTCCCAAGATGCATGGTCCTGCCACCGCTGGGTTTATTACCAAACCTCGAACGCCTGGTTCTAAGAAATATGGTCAGAATTACAAGAATCGATGCCGGTGAACTGAGTGGAGGCTACAGAGAGGCATTCAGTCGACTCTCTAAGTTCACCATAGATGATATGGAGAACCTGAAAGAGTTTAAATTTGTTTCCATTGATGAACTGTCGATTCAGAAATGCCCCTTGTTGACCTTTGGACCTCTTCCACCCAGAGCTCAGAGGTTGCTAATATCAGACTGCGACCAAGCCATGTCTTCATCGGGAAAGATAAGAGGAATAGATGGCATGGAGGGTCCTTCTGCTCCAGTAGCTGAACTGGTCGTCGAAAGCTGCAATGTACCTCTAGGTAATGACTTTTATGTACCTTCTCTTCTTTAAGTAGATTTTGATCCTTGAGTATTATCTCTTGTACTTCTATCTTCTATAATGCTTCAGTAATTCTTAATAGTGCTACTTTGCTTGCTCAATGTGCCACCAGGTGATTGGAGTTTGCTTCACCACCTCCCTGGCCTTTGCAGCTTGACTATCAGTAACTGCCACAACATAACCAGCTCACCAGAGATTACTAGGGCTCTATCCTGTCTCCAGTCACTATGTTTCTCTCAGTGCTACGAGCCTATGGAATCGCTACCAGCATTCTTGTGTGACCTCACCTCTCTCCAGCAACTTGCCATCATCGGATGCTATGGCATTGAATCTTTGCCGGAAGGCATAGTTGACAAGCTCACTGGCCTCAAAGCTCTGTATACATGGGACTGTCCAGAATTGGAGAAGTTGTGTGGATCAAAGGAGAACAAACAGAAGCTTGCTCACATCCCAATAAAATTTGAGTATGTCCCCTGCAACACTATTTTGTTCACATCCTACTTAAATTGTCTATGCAACACTATTTTGTTCTTTCTTTCTATCTGCAACCACTTGCACCGTTCTACTGGTACTCCGTAGCTTTTTGGTGCTGCTTTACTAGTGTTTGTTGTTCAGAATTCCTTCTGTAGAAACGCAGCTGCCATCGTTCACCTCAACTGGAGTTTTAGCTAATCTAAGTTTTCATCCTGTTAATTCTGCAGAAAATTTGGTACCAGCAAGACCAGCGTGCATCCTGCAGAAATATAAAGGAGCGTCTTGGTTGTGGATTCCTGAGCATTAGCCGCTGGAACAGTATCACAAGGCCGGCGGCATTTCCTTAGTGGATCGATGATGAACTGATCACTTTGTTCTAGTATGATGGAAACTTTGTGGCAAAAAACCAGTTTTTCATCAGTGTAATTTAATTTGTGTTCATCTGCGCACACTTCTGTCCACAAAAGCATGATTTCAGACACCTTTAATTTAATTTAATTCCCATTAAGTACATTTTGATCCTTCAGATTGGTGTTGTACTTATATGCTGCATATCTGTTGCTTTCTGCAATTCAGACAAAGATGATTAAATTCGACGTGATCCAGTTAAGAAACATTTTTCTGAAAAGATCTTATTCAGCTTCAAGTTGCCTTTTAGTCATTGATGTGTACCTTTTGCACTTGTGTGCTGTGTAATGCTCTCACAGATACCAAATCTTTCTAGATATTTATTTCTAGTTCCGTGTAAGTTCGAACAAGTGGTCATGAAAGAAATGCAGTAACATTCTTGGTAACTACTCACTCTACCCACTACTAGTACAGAACGGGCCATATCAGTTGGACTATCTTTGCGAGAGTGGCGTTTTGGCACATGGGAGCGCGCGCTCCTAGTTTTTAAAATGTGTTTGAAACGTATTTTGAAATGTCAAAAAATTCAAACAAAAATTTGGGGCATACTTCTCGATATTGTACATGCTCACAAAGTTATTTCGTGAAAAACCGACAACTTATGTGTTGCCTGTGAAAAAGACAAAATCCGGTGTTAAAAAGCGTTTTTCACAATACATTCTTATGTATTTTTACACTAGCCACAAAAAAACTTAGTTTTCACCGACACTTGACGTGCACACATATAATGTCGAGATGTATGTGCCAAATTTTGGTTTGAATTTTTTTCACCTTTTGAAATATTATTTTCTTGTGCAGGAGCGCGCGCTCCCAGGAGCATCAATGGATTTTTGTATCTTTGCTGGTTTTCAGTACGTTCCAGTGAAAAGCATCGCATTCATTTCTTGGGCGAAATTGGGCATATCAGTCTATGATGTAGGGAGTTCACTGTTCACATACCTTAGACATCTTATCAAACATGTGTGGCGACGGGCTTGACTAGTCACTCACCTTGGACTTTCACGGAACGACGTTGACTAATGCCGGCTTCAGCTCCTCGAACGAACCGACCATGGCGTCCATCGTTGGTACATTGCCGCCGACGCAGCGACCGAACTTGGTGGTATCAGTCTATGGTGTATACGGATTTGATACCATGCTCTCAACAAAAAATAGGAGGGGAATCAGGATTCAAGGAAGAAGAGAGATTCAGAAACGGGTTCACAGCAGAGAATTTCCGGTTCTTCGATGCCTTCACACGCGGGAGCTATCTCTCGCCCGTAGCGAAAAGCAAGTAGGTTCGCCTCTGGAGGCACGTTACTGGGCCAGTACAGTAGTGTAGCTGCCGCGCGAATTTCCTTTTTCATGTGTTTTTCTTTATGGTTTTTTCACTGCCTTGCATTTGTTTTATTTTGGTTTTCTTCCCTTTTCCCTGGTTTTTTACTTTTTTGTTATTCATCGGTTTTATTCAGTTTTCTATTTTTTTCTTTTAATTTCTTCTTTACTATTCTTTTTTAACACATGTCTAATTTTTAATACATATTGTACATTTTTCTTATACATCAAGAACGTTTTATTTATATACATTTGAAAATTTTCAAATACATGATTAATTTTTTTCAAATATATGTTTTTATGTCTATTTTTTTCCTATCCATTGCAGTTATCGTAATACACATTTAACATATTTCAAATACATGTTTTTGAATATTTATACGAATATGTGTTCAATGTTTCCTAAATACACACTCAAATATATTTTTGAATGATACGAAACAAGTTTTGAATCTTTGCGACTTTTTTAAATTGTTTAAATATTTCATAAACATATTTTTAAACGAGTGAACAATTTTTGAAATGTGACGTGCATTGTGATACCAATCATTTTACTTAATTACGCGAACATTTTTTTTACATTGTACTCCCTATGTGACTTAATCTAAGACACTCTTTTTACACTATAGTATAACATGTTTCATGTACATTTCTTATAACGCGTAGACAGGTTTTTAGATGTAACATACATTTATTTTAATGGTACAAACATTTTCTAAACTAGACAATGCCCCGTGCGTTGCTGCGGAAACCTTGTTAATAATGTATGGATAAATGGTGGAAGACTAAAATTAATGCAAAAATAAATATAAACGTGTCTTACATGAATTAATTGCCTGGAAAAATAATCATGCATGAGGTGGTATGTTTTGCATGAAGAGATCAATGAAAAAAGTAACTTATGACTCCATGCATGACTTGGTGATGTGGCATTGTTGCATGGAGAGGAAAATTTGATAGTGGGTTGTAGCTATTTAAGAATAGAGGATGAGTGATGAACACTTTAAAAAATTAATTAAATTAATCTTCGTTATACATGTATGTAGTATTTTTTTAAATATATAAAAACACTTACGTGATGTCATGGTGATGAACCCAGATAGCTACGGACAAAATTACTGTTCTGACCTATAGAGCTAACAAAATCCGATTTGACCTCATTTCAAAAGAAATTTCGATTCTGGCCTCTTTGGGTGACGCCAACATCCCTGGCGTCTGGGTTGTGAAGCAGACGCCACTAACCCTGACGTCTGGCCCTTGGCCCGCACGACCCGCCTGCTCGTTGACCTGCTGACGTGGAAAAGGCACCAGACGCCAGGGACCCTGGCGTCTAGCCCTGGTAAGTGGATAACCCCCGCGGGCCGAGCCCACCCACCCATCTCTTTTCCTCCTGGGCGGCGCACGAACAGAGGTCTTCTCTCCTTCGCCCCTCTTCTCCCTCACACCAAATCCTCACCTGATCTACTCAATCCTCCACTCTAGTTCGTGGATCTGGGCCCCCTAAGCATCCTTGAGGTATTCTCCCCCGTCTCCTTCAATTTATTTGGGTTGAGTCCTCTTCTTTTTGATGCATTATTCAACACTAGGTGATGTTAGATGAGTAGATGGTTTGTTTGTTTTAGGAAATTTTTTGTAGTTGATAGATGATTTGGTAGGCAGTAGATGATGTGTAGTTGAACATGTAGGCAAAATCAATTCCGTTTTGTGCTTATGTTGTCCATAGGAAATTTTTTTTGAACTAAGAGGGGTTATGAATACATGATTTTTGTATGTAAAAATAGACTTGTTTGATAATTTGGTTTTGATAGATAATGTGTGTATGTGGTATAACAATACAGTTGAATTTAAATATGATGTCTCTATGTGTAGATAATCCTATTGTTGGCATACTTTATTTGCAAAAGATATGGTGAAATTTGGTACTCTAGGTGATACGTATTTGCATATGTGACACCATATTATTTGACAAATTTATTTGATTGAGATGATGTTGGTATGTTTGAGAAGAATTATGTGTGCATATGAAGAAGAAAAAAAATGATGTGGTTATGTTTGAGAAGAATGGTGTGTTCATATGGCATAACTTCGAGAAGGAAATTGTATTGTTTGATATTGTTCATGTATTCATAGATGTTTGTGATTTGTTTTGTAGGATGGCGGATGGTGATGGACCTTGGTATGACGGATTAATCGATGAGTGGGATAAGGAGCATCGTGCTCGTGCCATTGAGAACGGACATGTAAGAAGCAAGAAAGACTGGGTCTATTTTCGTTGTTTCTCATTTGTGTTCTTGTATTGATTAAAACATCACTTTATTTGCAGCTTGTAGTTGCTATGCGCATGAGGGGTCATTCCGCTGATGACTTTACTTACGACCCGCGGTATGAGCCTTACATTCGGAGATTGGGTCTTCTTCCATTCGTGTTGCAGTTTAAGCGACGCGCTCCACCAGTGAACCACGCGGCGCTGACCGCACTTGTGGATCGTTGGAGGCCGGAGACTCACTCGTTCCACCTTCCATGTGGGGAGATGACGATGACCCTACTGAAGGAAATATGCCCTAGAGGCAATAATAAAGTTATTATTTATTTCCTTATATCATGATAAATGTTTATTATTCATGCTAGAATTGTATTAACCGGAAACATAATACATGTGTGAATACATAGACAAACTTAGTGTCACTAGTATGCCTCTACTTGACTAGCTCGTTAATCAAAGATGGTTATGTTTCCTAACCATGAACAAAGAGTTGTTATTTGATTAACGGGATCGCATCATTAGGAGAATGATCTGATTGACATGACCCATTCCATTAGCTTAGCACCCGATCGTTTAGTATGTTGCTATTTGCTTTCTTCATGACTTATACATGTTCCTATGACTATGAGATTATGCAACTCCCGTTTGCCGGAGGAACACTTTGTGTGCTACCAAACGTTACAACGTAAATGGGTGATTATAAAGGAGCTCTACAGGTGTCTCCAAAGGTAGATGTTGGGTTGGCGTATTTCGAGATTAGGATTTGTCACTCCGATTGTCGGAGAGGTATCTCTGGGCCCTCTCGGTAATGCACATCACATAAGCCTTGCAAGCATTGCAACTAATATGTTAGTTGTGAGATGATGTATTACGGAACGAGTAAAGAGACTTGCCGGTAATGAGATTGAACTAGGTATTGGATACCGACGATCGAATCTCGGGCAAGTAACATACCGATGACAAAGGGAACAACGTATGTTGTTATGCGGTCTGACCGATAAAGATCTTCGTAGAATATGTAGGAGCCAATATGGGCATCCAGGTCCCGCTATTGGTTATTGACCAGAGAGGTGTCTCAGTCATGTCTACATAGTTCTCGAACCCGTAGGGTCCGCACGCTTAACGTTCGTTGACGATATAGTACTATGTGAGTTATGTATGTTGGTGACCGAATGTTGTTCGGAGTCCGGAATGAGATGACGGACATGACGAGGAACTCCAGAATGGTCCGGAGACAAAGTTTGATATATGTGATAATAGTGTTTGGTCACCGGAAGGGTTCCGGAAA